AACAGAGTACTGACCCGTCCACAGGTTCTAAACTCCTCCGTGGTTGTCTGCAGGTTCTGCTGAGGAGCTGCAGCGACCCGTCCACCAGGAAGCAGCTGATCAGCAGCTACGACATGCTCACCAACCCCGCCAAGATGGGCGAGCGCTTCCACTTCTTCGGCCTGCTGCACCACAGCCGCCTCGCCAAACTCGAGAAGCAAGAGGGGCTGAAGCTGGAGAAGAAGAGGAGCCCGGCGCAGCTGCCTGTGGCCGGATTCTCCGAGCTCAGCTTCTCCTGAACCAGACGGCTTTAAATCTGCAGAGACTTTCATCAGCAGGTCGGAACAGACTGGAAACCTGGACGTGACGGAATAACTGACGCTGGAGGATGATGCACATGGATTGATGCTGTTGTTATGGCAGATGTTTAATTTCTAATTTAGATCATGAGAAGAACATCTAACATGTGAACTAAAAGTACAACTGTAAGAAAATAAACGTTGCTTCCTTTTTATTGTTGATAAACACAGTTGCCTTATGATGCCTGTTTTTTTCTCAAAATCCCAACAATCTGTTAAATTCTGCACCCGGAAGTCACGTAGGATTCCTTTAAATTCAAATTCCCAGCAACACCTGATAGCGACAGGGTCAGAGGTCAGCTCGCGGCGACGGGATCTTTTTTCCTCCCCGGTTCTGCGTCACTCGGCCAACTGCCTTCGTGCACATCTTGAAGCAGTTAGCTGAGCTCACAGTTGTGCGGCAGCCATTCACAGCGAGCCCGCCGCTCCTCCGGTAGCAATTAAAAGCTTCAGTTACACATGTAGGGGTTGGTGGGGGTGTGGGGGGGTCAGCCGTCCTCCAGAGGAGCGGCGGAGCGAGGCGATCGCGTTCAGGTTTGGTAATTAAATGATCGTTTCCAAACATCCTGCTGCAGATCGTTATCAGCTTGGCCTCGGATTCAGGAGGGGCTGTTCTCTCACCGATCAGTCTGACTTGTACATTTGGAAGAAATTACGAGACTTTTATTAAACCTTTTGAACTGAAGATGTTTAACAGGTTTCTGTGTTGAAACAAAGTCGGGGTTTTAGTGACGGTTGAGCTTTTTTAAATCTGACTTTAGTTTGAGATTAGACACAATTTAGGAAGTTATCAAACTACTTTGGGGCTCAGTTTATAACTCNGAAATTGTGAAAAAGTAAATAATGTTCCCAGAAGCTGAGATACTGTCCACACATGTCTTATTTCATCCGATCAGCAGTCGAAAATAGAAAAGCATTCAACGTAAAACACGTTTTAAAAAGACAATTAAATAATGGAAGCTTGTGAGTTTTTCAGCCGTAGTTTAGACACAGAAAGCCGACTGTGTGTTTACAGCCAGATGTGTTCAGTGTCTCCTGCAGAGATGAACTGAGACTGAAGACATTTATTATTAAGTTATTCTGTGTGTGTGTGTGTGTGTGTGTGTGTGTGTGTGTGTGTGTGTGTCAGGCAGATGAAAGGCGGGATCACGTGGAGGTGTGTGCGGAGGGCGGCAGCGTCGTCCAGCAGCTCTCCAGGCGGATCACGGAGGACGGAGGTGCAGCGCTGATCGCAGACTACGGCCACGATGGAACCAAGACGGACACGTTCAGAGTACGACACACACTTCATGTCGCTCACATGGCTGTTTTCATTTTTCCTCAAAGTCAGAGAAAATAACAATCAGTCCGTCTGGATCACTGACCACAAAAACAGGCAGCAAATTTATGGCAAATTTTAATCCTAAAACTGAAATGATTTTCTCTTTTATTGAACTTTTATGTTTCATAATGGTGCTCTGGGCATCAAGTCACTTGCAGATTGTAAAACAACAGAACCTGTGTAGCTTTTTATTTATTTTCACGAGTGAACTTTACAACTTCTGGAATCTGACTTATCCTGTTAACCAGGGACTGAAACATGATGTTCAATCAGAGCTTTACTGTTCTGTTAAAAACAAAACGGAGCCAATTCAGCATTTTTTTTAGCTCTTAAGCGATTATTTCATGATTTCAGTTTTATGTAGATCATAAAATCTACAATCTGTAGCAACGTGGTGGTCTGTGACAACGACCAGAAACATCTTGACATCACTCATCTCCTGATCAGTACTTTAAATATCCTTTAACAAACTCATGCATACACAACCAGTCGTTAACATTTATAAGAGTGAAGTAAAGTTTGTGGCTCTTTCATCGTCTTTTAAAGCTGTTATCACCGCACGTGTGTGTGTGTGTGTGTGTGTGTGTCCTCCAGCTGTTGTAATGTTTTTGTCCTCGCGTGAGCCGGTTTCTGATTTAGACCCTTAGATGAGGACGTTCTGTTCAGTCCTCTCTTCAGTTCTAGTTGAAGGAAACAGATGTAGGAAGCAGAGAAGCTCCTGTGCTGCAGGCCGGAGAGGAAACCAGGGTCGACCGGCCTGCCGCTCCTCTTCGTCGGCTCTTCCTCCTCCGCTTTGACACTGCCAAGATTTCATTTACTTTATTTCATTTATTTTTTTCACCACTTTACTGAGCAAGTTATCAGGTTTAAATTAAGGTAAAATATTTAGAAACTTTTGATGTGTTTGTGCTGTCCAAACATCCCACCGTTAACTGTGTGCTTTGTCATGTAGCTTTACAAATAATCTACCCTGTAGGGAGTAAAAGCAAAAGAGAGAAGAAATAAATAGTGAAAGAAATAGCAGTAGAGAAAAAGGTGCTTCACAATAGATATATCAATTAAGAATAATACATTTAACAAAAGACATTTGAACATTTTTGACATCAATCCAGCTCATGTGTGATTTAACGAATTAAACTTTTTATCTGTGAACATTAATCCCCATCAGACATTTTTCTGTGACATGCTGCTGCTGAGAAGAAACGTCCATTTGTTGTTTTTGTGTTGTTTGTCAGAGTTTTAAAGGCCACCAGCTGCACGACGTCCTGTCCAACCCCGGCTCGGCCGACCTCACCGCTGACGTGGATTTCAGCTACCTGCGGAGGAAGGCGGGAGGAGGCGTGGCCTGTCTGGGCCCCGTCAGCCAGAGGACGTTCCTGAAGAACATGGGCATCGACACCCGGATGCAGGTCAGTCTTCATCACTGATGGGTGGAGGTACAACGGCAACTACGATAATAAACATCGTTTATTTTCCTGTGTATTAGTCATTGATTTATTAATCAGCTGTTTCTCCATGACACCATATACAGTGGTGCTCAGATTTATTCATACCCTTCCATTAAAGAAAAGGCAAAATTCACAATAGTCACTCAAATAACTAGAAACTGAAAAAACTGCAATGAAGACTGACTCTTTAACAGGCCAAATGAATATTACAGGTAATCCAGGTTTTGACACAACGTTGATGAACTTGTAGCGTCCAGTGATTGAGCTGTAAAACCAAACATGAGCCAAAAAATGCTCCATGGCTCTATTAGCTGTTGGACTTTTACTAGAAGGAACACTCTCAGACTTATTTGATGATTGACGGTAACTAATTAAAGCTAGTTTTCCTATATACAAACAAATTATGTATTTGTTACTCCCCAAAATACAGCACGCATAATTGAGATTTAACACATGATGGTGTCCTCTCAACACAGATTTTTTTACAGATTGTCGCGTCTCTTGTTGCATCAAAGACTCCTGTTGCTTACTGATGAAACCACAGCGTTGATCCACTCATAGAGAAAGTGCTCCATAGATGAAACCTCCACAGGGAGCTTTCTGGA